GTTCTCACTCAGTGAAGCTCTTTTCAGATTAAAAACACCTTTGAGGAAATGTATTTTCAGGTGCCAAGTAAGCTACATCATAGCCCCCCCCCCAACCGACAGAACAGAAGCAGAAGGTGGTTCTTAAAGAGACAGAGGCCAATTTCAAGGTGTTTAGAAGAGGAAGTGATGAGAAGATTAAGTTTATTTTMTATTTAAACATAAAAACAGCATTTTAATAACAGCTAAAGGTGACATAAAGATACTTTATTATGGTATAGTATTTAAATATATGCCTGAGAAACACATAATATTGGCCCTTTAAATCTGTAAAGGCGGCATTAAAATGTTTAATATCTATACTGCTTGGTTCTTCCAGTCACTTCAGTCCAAAATATTTGCTAACACCATGGTCCTAATGGTACATTTATTAGAAAATGTGTTGTTGAAGAGAGTCCCTGAGGCAGACCCACAGTTTGACTTCTTTGACCTGCGGGTTCCACTACGTGGAGCTGGGGGGGACTGGTCTGGGTTTCTCTCCTGGATCTGTTGCCTTTGTGACCCGACTATGGCTAAGCAATAAAAGATGGAGTGAAGAATGGAGAGGAGTTGATTTAAGGTAAATAAAGCTGAGAAATATCCATTTAAAGTAAAAATGTTTTTTTATTTTCTTTAGGTTCTCATTCAGGCAGAGGACAGGGTTCATCGAATTGGTCAAACTAGCAACGTGAACGTTCACTACCTGGTCGCCAAAGGAACTGCCGATGATCACCTTTGGTACGTGTCAGGTGGAGGTAGTGTTCGACTGAAACAAAAGAAACATTGTTAATGCTCTGAAACTTATAATATTATGAGTTTTGCATTTTAGTTTAGCACTGCACAACAGAAACAACAGGAGGGCTGAATAATGAGCGATGTGGATAACATTCATTTAAACAGTCTTTGCCATATTTTGTTTGTTTACGTATTGATCCAGGCCAATGATCCAGGCGAAAATGAATGTTCTGGAGAAAGTGGGTTTATCGGAGTCAAACCTCTCAGACAACGCGGTGAATGCCAGCTTCCACTCAAAGGTAGGTTTTATTGATTCGTCATAAAGAATGGTTTGTGAAACTGGGACCAGCTACGTCTGAGCTGTAGGGATTTATTCTGGAACCTTTTGATTCATTCAGGACCCTAAGCAGAAGAGCATCATGGAGATGTTCCAGAGATCGTTTTCTGAAGACGACCTCGATGAGGCCCTCCTGATGGAGGTCGCCAACGACTGGGAGGACGCTTCTGCTTGAAAACTTGCAGACTCAATTTCTCACCAGTAACACTGCTTTAAAGACTATTTCATCAGTTCAAGTTATTTGTTCACTGGAACTCGACCTTGTTTGTTGTTTTCACCAGATCATGACAGAACAGTACTTCAAAGCATTTCATAAAAGACTATAAAAAGTGCTAAATGTGTAGATTTTTTGCTTATTGTTTAATAAAAGGAAACCAAATAAAGGTGTTGTCTTTAAAACTGTTTCAGAAGCTTATGAGTATCACAAAATCTGGAAAATTTACAGTAAACTCAGAAAAATTGTTACTACAGTTTTACAAAATAAAACATTACAATTACTCTATTGTTTATATATTATGACTTTTAGATTTAGCTTTTTATTGCATATTTTCATCATAGTAAAATAGGTTATATTCACTGTACTGGGTTTTTGTGGACAAAAACTTACAATCATTAACTTAGAACTTTATTCGCTTATTGTTTTAGAATAAAAATTTGACAGTAAAATTCTGAGCTGTAAAACCTGAAATAAGTTGATAATTTTTTTATTGTGTATCCTACAATGTTTGCAACAGCCATCAAAAACCAGCCTGTTAGTGTATTGTCGGCTGATATTTTTTCTAACTGGCTTTTAAACACCACCCACTGAAGGTGTAAATTTGGGATATATTTGTCCCATTTGTTGCATGATTCATACAATGTCAGGCTGTTTCCATGATGTTACACATTCAAATATGAAGGAAGAAAAGACTGCTGATGTAATCTGAGTGGTTTGGATTGTTGCTTCTTGTTGGACTACAGGAATATAAAATATGTAGATCATCATTATTAATTAATGTATATTTAGGATTATTTTGCAGAAAACATCACCTTTTTTTCTAAAAATACAGCGAGTGAAATAAGTATTGAACATGTGTGAAGAGAGAGTTCAAGAGGACGTGAAACCGTTGAGAGGTAAACGGGTGGGGTCCGCACCCGTGGAAGGTGCGAGGCCGATGTCGGCCCTCGGCGCGCCGGGGTCCGGTCTTCTCGGAGTCGGGTTGTTTGGGAATGCAGCCCAAAGCGGGTGGTAAACTCCATCTAAGGCTAAATACCGTCACGAGACCGATAGAGGACAAGTACCTTAAGGGAAAGTTGAAAAGAACTTTGAAGAGAGAGTTCAAGAG